CTTCTTTCTCCTTGTCCTGTCACCAGTTGCTTCCAATCTTCTGGAAACCTGTCAATTTTCCCCTTGCTGTAGCAATTATTGTATCTGTTATTAATCATTGCCATCATCTGCTGGTTATTTTATTTTTTCAATAATTCCCTCTATTAAATACAGGCTTGGCTCCAAATGAGAAATTACAAGGGCTCAAGGAATACAGGGATATAATTTTGCCAAGATCTGCAAACCAAGCACAGAAAGTCACTGTACTTTGTGTACTTGATGAGGCCAAGGGATCATGTGCTCACACTCCCTCCCTTTGTCACATTAGTCCTGAAGATTTCTGCAGGAAGATTTGTGCTGGAAACTACCACTGAATGTGAGTAATAGTGTAAGTTTGGCCTTTGTGAAAAGATCATTAAATCACAACACACTGAGAAGGGACAAGAGTCCTCAGGCTTATTTCAAAAGCTATTTTTAGCTGTGGATATGAAGACTTTTCTTATCAAATAATTAGTCATCACCAGTAAAGGCAAGTTAACTTTTCAGAATAAAATAGGAAGTCATTGAAACCTTTTCTGAGTTTCCAAAAAAGGTTGATATAGAGATCATTCAAGCCTCTGCACCTGACTGTAATTATTTAGGAACAGAAAATGGGAAAGCACAAAAAAAAATTGAAACTATCACAATTCCTGCCTTATTTGAAGGAAAAAGTGCTACAGATAAAGACATTTACCCAGATTTCTGTGTCATCCCAGTATTGCAGAGGTGCAAGGGGATTAGAAAATTTAAAAAATAAAGATGTTATACAGCCAGAGTAGTCTTTTGCAGAAAAAAAAAAAAAAAAGGTCAAATCCTGACCAGCCAGAGACATCACAGAGCAGCTCCATATTCTTGGGAAATGATGTTGTGAGTACAAGCCAGCAAAATAATGCTGTCACAAAAAAAAAAAAAAAAAAAAAAGCCAAAAGCTGTGTAAATTTGTGGTGAGGGGCTCATCACTCATAAAACAGTGGAGATAATTGTGCTGCTGTGCCTGGCACTGGGTGCATTTCATCTGGATGGCTGCATTTCATTCCAGGCACACAGACAAACTGGCAGAGTTCAAAGGAGAATAACAAAAAATAAGGCAAAGGGTTGAAAAGGAGACCTACAAGATAAGATTAGGGGAACTGGGTATAGCTGGACTGGAACAAATTAATCTAAATGGCAGGAGGGAGGATTTAGGTTTTAAGTACAAACCAACCTTTATAGCTTTAAGAAAAGTTCAGCCATGGAACAAGCTGCCAAGGAAGGTTTTAGCCTTACCATCACTAGAGATACTAAAAGGCAGGAGACCATCTGTCAGGGAGAGTTTGGGGATTAAAAAAAAAAACAGAGAAAAAAAAAATGCACTGCCTTAATTTAAGAATTGAGCTAAATAACCCATTCGTGACTAGGCTTTAATGGATTAGAAATGGCAGAGCTTCTCTTTTTGAGGGGAAGTTCCTGGATCTTCCCCCTCTGAAGATTGTCTTGATCGTATAAACCAATACAAGGGATTTCTGCTGTTTTCACATTGAGAAGGATATTTGCATTTAAATGCTTCCAGGAGATAGATGTCTAAATATTCATTTCATCATATTGATGGTACACTCTGCTTTTTTCCCATCAGGCTTTGAACACCTGTATAGAGCTAATATTGAGAAATTTGGAATCAGGGAATATCCTGAGTGGGAGGCATCATCCAAGCCCAACTCCTGGCCCTGCACAGGCATCCCAAAATCCCACCCTGTGCCTGGGAGTGTTGTCCAAACACTCCCTGAGTTCTGGCAGCCTTGGGGCTGTGCCCAGTGCCCTGGGGAGCCTGCACAACAAATTGTCACCTCACTTGTTTTCCTGTGGGACCCTTTGTTCCCACACCTCAGCTCCTCTAAGAGGCAATCAAGGGATTCCTGTTAAAACTTCTGGAAAATCCAAGTGTCCCTGGGTTCCCAGTTCCCTCCTTTCATCTCCAGGGATGCAGGTTTTGGAATCACAGTGACTGTGTGGCTGGTGATGTGTCATGACTGCATCACTTCATCTCTTTGGTTCTCTCTCAAGACTCCTAATGAAGCTGCTCTTTGGAAATCCCTGAATTTTGCTAGAGCCCTTTCTAAATGGCATTTCTAAAATATGTTGTTAATTTTCCCTGTTGCTGAGGCCAGTGGGAGCAATGGTTTGAGCAAGGCAGATGTTGTGCATCTGAGCTCCTCCACCAGCCATGGGTGAATGTGGCATCACATTCTCTGAAAAAATCCCTTTGCCCAGGATTTTTCTCCTGGGAAGCTGAGAAGCCTCAGAGAAAAGGAAAACAATTCTTATGTCATTTGCTTCTCTTGTGTTGTGCTCATGTGGAATGTGTTTGGGGATTGTTTACCCACAGGTGATTGTTCCATTGCATTCTGCAGTGAGTTGTTTTCACTCTTTGGCCAACTGGGGCCAAGCTGTGTCAGGACTGGAGAGAGTCACGAGTTTTCATTATTATCTTTTTAGCATTCAGTAAGTATCTTTTCTGCATTCTTTAGTATAGTTTAGTGTAGAATTCTTTAATATAATATAGTATTGTAAAGTAATAAATTAGCCTTCTGAGAACACTGAATCAGATTCATCATCCCTGCCTTCGTTGGGACACTCCCTGCAAATACAATAGCTGAACCTCGTGCACTCCTGGTGATTTGTTGGTACTCATTTGTTGATACTAAAAGGGTGAGTTCAGATGGGATACTGGGAAGGAATTCCTCCCTGTGAGGGTGGGCAGGCCCTGGCACAGGGTGCCCAGAGCAGCTCTGGCTGCTCCTGGATCCCTGGCAGTGTCCCAGGCCAGGTTGGATATTGGGGCTTGGAGCAGCCTGGGACAGTGGATGTTCCCTTCCTATGGAAAAGAAGGTCAGAAAGAGGTGAACTTTAAGAATCCTTCCAACCCAACCTATTCCATGCCTTGGTTCTATGATTCTGTGATTTTGTCAGGTCGCTCCAAACTCTGACTGAGTTGTGGGAGCCTCTGCTCTGGGCATTAATCCAAAACTCATTTCTACTTTCTGTAAAACCTCCACTTCCCCACAGGTTTGGCTGTGGCTTGCTTTTCTCTCTTTAACTTGACATTCTTTGCTGTTTTCCTCATGTGGGCATTCCTGTGCTTTTTCATGGCTTTTGGTTGCTCCTGTTGGTCTCCTCTGTGTTTATTTCCACAGGTTATTTTACAGTCCAGGCAACATTGTGAGCCTGGACTGTAAAGGATTTCACAGGCTCAGGCAATTGTCCTGATCACTCAGCTGTAGGTTATTCTCTTTTGGGATAATCTGGCAGCAATTTGGAGCAGAGGCAGCATGGATGTGTCTGGGGAGGGTGTGGGTGTCAGGGGTGGGAGCCATAACCCCTTTTCCTGCAAAATCTACTGCTCTGAGTGTTCTTCCATGTTGCCTATGGGAGCTTTGGGGTTATCAGCACTGAGCTCCCCCTAAATTAAATCTTTATTTCCATTACTGCATTACTCACAGGTTGGCATAGCTCAGTGTCTGGAAATTAAAAGACCCACATTATCCCTGGAATATTAACTGTCCTCTTACCCATCCTGGTTGAATCCAATTCCTTTTCTCAACTCAGCCAAACCCAGAGAGGTCTCTGAGAAGTGTGAGTTAGTGGTAAGAAAAGAAATTAACAGCTGTCACCTTGGATATGGGCAGAAGATGAGTGAAGAGCAAGACTCGGGAGCAAGAAAGCTCTCCTGGGAACACGAATCTGTGTGCAAACACATTTACATGAAAAGGAAATTGTCTGACAGGGGCAGCCACAATTATTCCAAATCTCATGCCAGATCACTGTTTCCTCATTACGTTTCTCTGTACATTAGGGCTGTGTCTGTGAGATGCACTCTGAACTGCACATTGAAGAAAAGCCCTGCTGCTGGAAGAGCCATAATTCATTTACTAACAGCCCCTGTTGCTGTGCTTCAATAATGCAATCATTTTCTCTGTGTCCCAACCATATGATTATTCCTGTTGTGTAGGAAATTTAAGTCCAAGGAATGTCAGATCAAATATAAAAGCCTAGTGCTTACCCATAGTTTTTATTCAATTAAGTAGCCATTACAGAGCTCATGCTGTTTCAAATGACATAATGCAGAACACAAATGCAGTCTTTTATTACAAATATATGTTCATCTAAACAAAATGGCACCAAAACAATCCAAAGCCATTACAATTTTTAGATTATTATGCTTAGGCTATCATTATATGGTGAGCAGTTGCTGTGAAAGACGAGTGGGGGAACTGGGGCCTCCACAAACCACACTTTGAGCACAGCAGCACTGTTATTTGGGGTTTATTTGTGAAATTCTTAAATGCAGAGGAACAGTGCTGATAGAAAAATAAATAATGAAAGCACTGAGCTGACTTTGCAGGTGATGAGTGGGAAAGTCATGCCTAGGACCTGACAAAGAAGGAGATGCCACAGGCAGGGTCTGGCTGTTTCCCCCAAAAATTAATTCTAAAAAGCTTCTCTGTGCCTTCCTCCCCAGCCTCAAGCAGCTCACAAATGATGTTTGCAAATGCTTTCTTCTCTGCCCACAGGATTTCTCCTGCTCAGCATCCCTGAGGGCTCCCTGTAACCAGCACAGGGCCAGAACTTTTGGCACCATCTCCAGAATGATGCCCAGCACCACAAGTGCCTGAACCTGTAGAGGGTTTTCCCTTTTCCTTTGTAATCCCCCAGCTCTGCATCTCTCCATCACTGCTGCCCTGATAGGCTCATTGGGAAGGCCATGAGATCCCTCCTTCCCTCTGTTCCTGCCCCTGCTCTGGATTTCTGTTTAAATGTGATTAATGATGCATTTATCCCATTGCCCTGGTGTTCAAACACTCCTGTGGAAGGTGGGAGAGGAAGGAAAGAATCCCCTGGGCAGAGCTGGGAATGACCCCTGGATCTGTGCCCCTGAAGGGTGCAAGGCTGGCAGGCTGTCACCACTCACCTCCCCACTTCAGACACGTTGTAGCTGATTTTTGTCGATCCAAACCTCGGCTAACTCACCAATAAAGGGGCTCAAAGCTGAATACAGAACAGTGCAAATGGACACAGGAAGCCTGGTATGATTTACTCCTCAAACACTGAAAATAATATGGAAACAGAGAGATGGCACAGAAGCAGTTGTTGATTATGTAGAGACTGAAAAACCACATGAGGAAATGGAGTTTAGATGGTCAGTTTCTATTTTTACAGACAAAAATCAATCCCAAACTTCCAAAGGTATTTTGTGTCTGGTTTATTATTTTCTTTCCATAACAGTCAATGTGGTCGAAGATCTCTGAATGTTATCATGCAAAGAGGAAGGACAGGCACAATTTCCCCACTCAAACCACTTTACTGACACACTTGCAAGACAAAAATGAACTGCTCCCTGCTTCCTACACCCCTCATGCCAGCTTCTGTCTGCAACTTTTCTCTTTTTTTTTTTATTTACTTTCAACTCATTACAAGAAAGTCATTTTATTTTCACATTTTGCTGGCAGCTGGAAGTCTCCAAATGAGGGAAGCAGGGCTGAGATGCATCCATCTCATCCCTCAGCAAAAATCCCTGCAACATACGGTGCTGTTATGACTCTGAGCTTTAGGTGGAGAGGGAAACAGGCATCTGGGCTGGGTTCATTTGTAACGCTGCACTTGCTGGATTAATATGGAAAGACAGATGAAGGCAGACACTTTAATTACTTCACCCTAACTTTTTATTACAACATCAAGTAAAATGGTGAGTTACAGAGGATAATGGGCGTGAAACATCTGGGATGAAGTCGCACACAAGCTCGTGGGTTGTTATCTGCCAATGGGGTTTTAAATATTGATAATTTCTGTACATGCATCTTTGTGTTATTTCTGATCTTGATAAATCATCTCAGGATTACTTTGTTTTGAGCTGTGAGGTAGCTACTAGGACTGGGAGCCAGCTTTTTTCTTCTGGAATTTTCTGAACTGGGACTGTATCGCCACGGCCGCCCGCTCTGTCTCTGGCGCGTCCATGTCTATGTCAAACTCCTCTTGGACCTTCTTTTGCCCATCTGCTCAAAGGAAACACAACAAAAAACATCAACAGCTTTTTCACACAGGGATGATCACTGAACAGCACAGGTGGAAAATTCTGCTGCTTTCTCCTTCTTCCTAAAGATCCTTATTAAATACTGAGGTAAAAGCCCTTTATCTCTTAACCATATCTCAATTTTAATACCAAGGAAAAGGCATCAATAGACACAGACATGGCCAGGAGGAGCAGATTCAGGGAAAAAAACTGGCACAAGTTACACCAAACCCCTCCCAGTGACAGAGTTTGGGGAGCTGGGCACTGAGGAGCAACATCCAAAGGGTGCTCAGCACTCGTCCAGCATCTGGGCAAGTCCCCCCAGCACAGGGAGAACTCAAAGTTCCTTTCCAACCTAAATTATTCTACGTTTACTCTAAAAAAAGAGGCAGATTAAAATATTTTAAAGTAGAGGCATTAAGACCCTGTTCTTATCACACCTCCAACATGAGAGGAAGAGATAATACTTCCTTTCCTAAGGCTAATTTCCATCCTTTCCCCTCGTTTCCTGCCTCATCCCTTCCAACATGCACATCCCTTCCCCTCTGAATCATTCATGTCCAATCTCTCCACCACTGTGCTGCTTCCCTCACTTCTCTCCAGGCTCTGCTCTTGTCTTTCATCCTCAATCCTTGGCTCTTTGCCTTCCTTTATTCCCAGGCCCCAGCTTTCCCTTCAGCTGCATTCGGCCTCCACGTGGCCAACCCAGCTGACTCTCCTGAATTTTCCTTCACCCACCTACAAGTTAAAAGTGCAGCCCTGGGAAAATTCCTGCCCTGGTTGCAGAGATAACCCTGAACTGCCTGGACTGAGCTGGTGGGAGCACGTTTGCCCCACTAACCTTGTCACAGCATTGAGTTTTTCACCATAAACTGGTTTGTTAAACTCTCTGGTGTCACTCTTGTGTGCCAGCCTGCAGTGCCCGTCACACCAGGAGTGTGCAGGGAGCTCTGCTTGGGGGAATTCACCCATTCTGAACCACTTCGTTCTTAATTCTTGACATTATTACCTCCAGGATGCTCATCTCCAAGTAGGGTTATTGCGAATAAAGGCAATTTATTTTAATTTTCATATTAAACTGAAAATAAACTTCTCCCCCTTATAGTCTCTGTCCTGCACACTAGAAAACAGGGATGCCATTCCATGGTTTTAGCATCAGTCCTACAGGATTTCGTGCCTTTACTTCTTGTTCTTACTCCAAACTCAGCTTTTGTGTCCATTTTCTATAGACCACTCTAAACAGACAAAACATTTAAAGGGAAGGTTTTGCAATATCCCATTTTGATTTTATTTTAACTACAGTAATCAAATAAATGTAGCTATGTTAATGTAAGATAAATGTTCACTTGGTATTTTGTTTTATTTAGAAAACAGTTAAGAAGAAAGATGAAAATGGAAGAAGAAAGAGAAAATCTGGATTAAAAAAGAACAGCTTGAGAGCTCACCAAATTTTATTACACAGGCTAATGAAAAGCTAAGCTATCAAAACAAAGACTTGTGTGGAACAAAATCAATCCATTAACTTTATGTCATTAAATCACAGAATCATGTCATTAAATCTGAGAATCTGCATGGTTTGTGTAGCTATTCAAGCAATGCAACCACCCTGAGTACAGAAATACAATTATAGTTTATCTTCCGTGGGGAAGGGACGTGAAGGTCGGAAATGACACAGCCAAGGAGAAACTGGAACTGATTTTTATTTGGTATTTATGGGTTAAAGGCAACCTAACAGTAAAAGTGGAGTCTGTCCATGGATTTTAGCCTTTCAGAGGAATAACTGCTGTCCTTTGGAAATGCCAGTTGGGAAAACCAGATGGGTGGATGAACAGACACAATTGGGTCTGTACCTCTTGAAGAAATCTGGCTTGTACAGCTCATTTCCTATACAGCCAAGTTTTAGCACTATCTTAACTTGCAACAGTGACTCAGCAATCTCACATTAACACTTAAGAAAATGCAGCATTTAGTGCAATTTGTCTCTAAATTTCCAGGACACTTAAATCTTTGCTTGATGCTATCATCACTGCTTTAAAATCAACTGTAATACATAATTCACAGTATCTTAAGGTGTAACTTCCTTTTATTTAACCTGCAGTTGTTGACATCAATACCAAAATTCCATATGAGCTCTTCCTATATTTCTGTTTTCCTATCACCACTGAGAAATGCTAGGACAAGAAATTTTCAGCCATGACTTAAACTTGTAATTAAGAAATTAGTAGTGTTCAAATGGGCCAAGATATTTATATTAATAAAGAAGAAATTCATAATTAGCAGATGGTAGGGAAATATAATGATTACACATATGTGCATAATACACATTACAAAACAACATGTGCATTATCTATATAGGTAATGTAATATAATGGACATTTCTGTATAATTTTCTCTTTCTCCCTATGCCCATATTTCACTTTTTTACACATGAATGGTCCATCCACATTTGCATACATAGAGAATATATATTAATATACAAGTGCACAGACATATTTGCTTAAAGAGTTTAAATCCTGTGTTAAAATGGAAAAAGCTGGATTGGGTATTTCCCAAATTTTGGGAGTGGATTTTCTTGGAGTTCTCCCCAAACCATTTCCTATTGATACCTGTCACAACACAGATACTTTACCAGATGGACTGTCAGTCTGGAGAGAAAATTCAGTGGGGTGCCAGCATGGGCTTTGTCTAAGGGAATAAAATTTTAGCTTTTACCTTGAGCTGCTTCCCTAAAAGCAGATCTGTGATTTAAAAAGTGTCACACCCTGCAAACAACACGGTTTTACTGGTTGGGAGCAGGAGTTCCAACTCCTTTGTGACAGGGGAGCTGGAACCTGGTGATCTTTAAGGTCCCTTCCAACCCACACCATTCTGTGATTCTACAAATTAAGAATTAACCAATTAATTACAATGGAAACCCAGCCTGGGTCAGGACCTGCACAGACTAGAAATCACCTCAGTGCACTGATGAAAAGATTAAAGCCTTTTTGCACCCTTCCTACTCCATATCCACCCATGGCACAGTGACTTTTACCTGTCAGTAGCTGTTCGCATATCTCAAGCGTGCAGGCTGTTGGATTTGAGTCCTCAAATCATTAAATTTCTGCAGAGAGCTGAAAGCAAGCCTGTAGAAATGGTCCTCTTTCATGCCCTCCTGGTTTTCCTTTCACAAGGGATAATTACCTTGGAAATGGTCTGAAAACCCAGGAAATTCTTGCTCTCAGCAGGACACAGCACAGGTAAGCACTGCACAGGTTTTACTCCTGGAGTTGATTTTTCCATTCCTCCTGGTGGGGGCCAACCATTCTGACAGCAAACCACCTTCTTCCAAGCTGCCTTGATGTGGCAATAAAGGTGCATCAGGATTACATCCCCACCCTCTGACACACACAACCTTTTGTTGGTATCTTCACTTTCTAAATTAAATTATGATTCCTTCCACATGGGTATCTGAGGATACCTGAACTACACCCACCCCCAGGAGAAAACCAGGGGGAAAAAAACCCAAACCTGTTGTCAGCAGACCTAAACTCATGAGCTTCTTGTGATTGTACAGGATTCAGAGATGGCTGATAAGCCCTGGCCTGCATTTTCTGCTTTCTGAGGGGGACTCTGCTTTTATTAGCACCACAAAAAATAAATCCCCCTAACCTTTCCCACTTAGCTATTCCAAAGCTTTCCCTGAAACATTCCTTCATACTTTGCTGGACTCTTCTGATCACACCCTGACAAACCAGGGCAGCCAGTGCCTGTCCCTGCTGGGCTCTGATCACTGCCAGCAGTTGTTGGCCACAACAAAAGATTTGGCATAACAAAAGATTGTTACCCAATGAATTTCCCAAAATCACATTTAACCACAGACTGGCTCTGGTCCCAATTGAGGCAAATCTGATCAGTGGTGGGGCAAACTCCTTGGAGAAGTGTTATATTTGCTGGGAAATGTCCCAATGAAGGCAGGAATGATGAATCTGACTCCATGTTCTCAGAAAGCTAATTTATTACTTTAGGATACTGTATTATATTAAAGAATACTATACTATATTAAAGAATACTATACTATACTATAATATACTATAGAATTTAGAAAGGATACTTACTGAATGCTAAAAAGATAATAATGAAAATTCATGACACTTTCCAGTTCTGACACAGCTTGACCCTGATTGGCCAAAGAGTGAAAACAACTCACAGCAGAATCCAATGAAACAATCACCTGTGGGTAAACAATCTCCAAACACATTCCACATGAGCAAAACACAGGAGAAACAAATGAGATAATTATTGTTTTCCTTTTCTCTGAGGCTTCTCAGCTTCTCAGGGGAAAAATCCTGGGTGAAGGGATTTTTCAGAGAATGTGAATGCCACAATGTTGGTCTGAAAACAACACCAATTTCCTGGTGAAAAGGGGCTCCCCACACCCCAGCACCACCACACTGCAGGGCTGGAGTCAGAGACAATTTATAGGGCACAGGTTTTCCCTCACCACAGGCAGCACTCATCCCAGCAGGAGAGCCTGAAGCAGCAACTAATGAGCTGCTTTCCAAGTCTCCCATCATCTTGCACTGCTGCAGCTGAAGAAAGATCTATGTTTTCCTTTTCCAGATGAAACAGTATTAGAATGCTGTCGCCATGATCTGCTACAGCGCCCTGTGATCCATGGCAAACACTGGATGGATAATGAAGCTGAAGGAAAACAATAAAATCTTACACATAAATCTACCCATCAAACTCTGAAGAAACGTGGTGCAAATGTAATTATTCACAAATGTGCCTCCAGCTATTTCTTTCATTTACTTTTCAGCTATGAAGCAAAATGAATTGTGATAACGCTGGGAAAAGGAAACATTGCTTATTCCATATGGGCCAAAAGTTTCAAGCAGTCTTTTGTGACATTTGAACACAGCCTAAACAGACCAGTCCTTCCCAAAACTGCTCAGAGAAGGGAAAAGGTTAGTGGGTGGAAAAGGGGACTCAGTCTTTATTCTC